ATAGCTGTCTTTTGGGCACGCCTTATTGAGATCTGTGAAGTCGATGCAGACCCTCCATTTACCACTGATTTTCTTCACAAGAACAACATTAGCGAGCCAATTAGGGTATTGGACTTCCCTTATAAACCCCGCTCTCACCAGTTTGCCGACCTCTTCCTAAATGACCACACGTCTTCCGACGCAAACTGCTTCTTCCTTTGCTTAACAGGTTTGGGCCCTGAGCTTATATTGAGTCTATGGACAGCTACTTCAGGGTCTATCCCTGGCATATCCTTAACCTTCCATGCAAAAATATCGATGTTGCGGGATAGACAATTGATGACTTTCTCCCAGAGGCTGGCCTTGAGATCCCGACCAATAGTTACCGTTTTTTCGTGCTCGAGCTCGGTCACTTCCAATTCCTCAACCGGGGCAAGTTTACTTCTTGGCTTGAGCTCAGTCTAAAAGTTGCATAATGTCTGTACTCATTCCTCGAATGCTAGTAACATAGCAATGTCTGGCAGCTATTTGGTCCCATCGAACTACTCCAATGCCATGGCCTGTTGGGACCTTCATGGCCAGGTGGAAAGTGGATACAATAGTCTGGATCTTATTTAGTAGGGGCCTTTCGAGAATGATGTTGTAAGCCATAGGGGTATTAACCACTTGGAATGGTGTGATCTCCGTCACTTGTGTATTACTAGAACCTAATGTAAGCGATAGCTCGATGATGCCCTCAGGGATAATGACTCTACCACCAAATCCCTGTAGAGGAGTTTTTACTGCTTTGAGCTGTTTGGGAGAGAGCCCCATTTTAGCGAAAGCCTCCTGTGATAGTATGTTTGCTGCACTTCCATTATCAACCAAAATCCTCTTTACTTCAAAGTTAGCCACAATTGCAGAGACGACCAAGGCATCATCATGAGGATATGATACTCCTTCCAAATCTCTTGCTCCAAAGGTAATGTCTTCAAGTTTATCGTGGGATTCCTTTGAGGTATGAGCATGTTGGCGGGCATATTGCTTTCGCCCACTATTTGTGTCTCCTCTAGATGCTATGCCTCCAATGATAACATTAATGGTCCCGGCAGTGGGTTGAGCACTGCTTCCGGCTCCAGGCTCTTTCTGATTGCCACGGTCATTCCTCGGGCGTTTATCATGACCAATGTAATTCCTTAAGAGTCCTCTTTTAATGAGGACTTCAATTTCCCGCTATAAGGCTTGACAATCCTTCATGGTATGCCCATGATCCCGGTGAAATTCACAATATTTGCTCCTATCTCTTGTGTCAGGGGGCGACTTCATTCTTGAAGGCCACTTTAATTCTTTCATATCTTTGATCTCAATTAAGATATTTGCCTTGGATGTGTTTAATCGGGTGAGGGGCCCTGGAGGACCTTCATTCTTGCGCTTTTCCCTAGGATATTCAGGCCGAGAAACGGGATAATGTTGTTTCTTGTTCTCGGCCTTTTCATAGAAAGGACCAGGTCTCCTTGGATTCAGTGTTTCCTCCATATTAATGTATTTTTTAGCTCGGGTGAGGAGCTCGGTCACTGTCTGCGGCGGGGTCTTTGATAAGGACATCTTGAAAGCTTCACATCTTATGGCGTAAGTGAGGGCGGAGATAGCCGCTGTGATGTGAAGGTCGGGTATTTGAAGTCTTTCTTTGTTAAACCTTGTCATGAATCCTCGTAGGGTTTCATTTGGTCCCTGACGAAGTTACATGAGAGAGACCGCGGTCTTTCTAATCCGCTCGCTACTTGCAAAGAAAGCTAAGAACTTATCAGCCAAATCTGAGAATAAGGCTATAGAGTTGGGCTCCAATGTTGAGAACCAATCCCTAGCAACATTAATCAGCGTTTTGCGGGAAGGCTTTTCACATAACCTGATCCGGTGCTACTTACAAATTCATGACATCAGTATATATATTGAGATGTTTGATTGGGTCGGTTGTCCCATCATACTCTTTAATGCGAGGATATTTGAATCTATCAGACAGGGGATATGACAGTATCTCCGGCGTGAATGGAGTGTTAGTGGTAAAACTCGTTGGCCCTTGAGCATTCCGTTGCAGGCCAGCTATAATTTATTCTTGAATGATTCGGGCAATCTCACCTAAATCCATGGCGACCGATCTCGAGCCCGAGGCCATGTTACGAATACCTGAGGTTCCTACTCTGCCAGTTGCGGGGTTTGGTGGTCGGGCTGAGCATCAGCCATAAAACCATCATGCTCTGCTTACGCTGGTGATGGATGCGAATTTCTTTGACTTAACAGTTGCGTAAGTGTGGCCACTACTGACAGAGCTCTTCAAAGGCTTCGGTTGTGACGACCACTG